ACCGAAAAAGATAAATTTTCCCTTTTAAATATTCATTATGATAGATTGAAGCTTTACTGTTGACAATAATATGTTTATAAACATTGGTCCTGATGTCAACAATCATAGTTAATCTAAGATTGTTCATAGCAAAGCACATATTTCATAATTATTGAAAAATTAAATAGAGTCTTCTCCTATTTTGGAGATTATTTCGACCAAAACCTACAGCTAGACATCTTATTATAGAGCAATTATTAGTGAAATTTCATAGCACTTGAGATCGAAGACTCTTCTGTGATAACTGCAATTAACCGGTAAAATTATCGCTGAACCGCAGTATTTATTAAAACCGGCGGTTTACCGCGGTTAACTGTCGGTTTTACCGGTTAACCGTCGGTTTTTCCGTTTTCATCGGTTTACCGCTAAAAGTGATTCGGTATTTGCGACATGGGAAGTCTATTTTTTATCACTGTTTGATGAAAAAAAAAACAGTAGCAGTAGCACGATATCTTACCTACTGAAACAATCGGTTTTCTTTTTTGACCTACAGAACATTTTTTTTTATAAAAATTTGCAAAAGATGATGATTATACCAGCTATAGTTCATAAATAAATTATCCATGTATTTCTCTCGTCCAACGTGAATCAAATCTGTTGAACACTGATTTGAAAGGCAATTAAGAATCTTTTCGTACATGATTTGTGTGATCACTGCTGTTTCTCGAAAGTTGATACTTAAAGATCGGAGATATTCATTTGCTTCGTCATAAAACCGTTTTCGAGATACATCATCTAACATTGATAAAAAAGTTATTACTGTAACTATAGTATTTTGAAATATATTGAATTCAATTCTTTACTTTTTAAAATTCTACTGTAGTATAGTTTTTGTTCTCAGATAATATTGATACGAAGATTGGATAAAAAATATTTCGATTTTGTGCACATAATTAATAGGCACTTTGTGTAAGTTTAATTTTGCTTGTGACTAATGCATCTATTATTGGTGTTGTTTATCTCTTTCTTATTATAGCCTGATCAGTACTAACAATTGCGAAAGAAAAAGAACAACAATTTACTGTTTGTCTTTTCTTTTTCTGTATTGCTATAGCCCAGATAAACTAAATAATCGTCAAAAGAAATCAAAAAATCTGTATATAGCTGTTTTTTTTTTCTTCATCTCTCTCTTACTATAGCCTGATCAGTGTGAGTAATCGAGAAAAGAAAGAAAAAATAAAAATAAGAGTAGAAAAAAATTTATCTCAAAGCTGTATGACAATGGGTTTGTTTTTGTGTTAACGAATGGATGCACAGAAGCACAAGATTTTTTTTTTCGTATATGTATAAAAGAGATATAATGGCTTTGTTTATTTGATACAACTGAATCAAGATAAGTATAACGAGCCAAAGTAAGCTTTGTAAAATTTATTTCATGAGGAAGACCTTCGTTCTCGTGAGCATGCAGGAAATTTTTCTGATCTTCTGTACGAGTTGAGCGATAAGTAATATTTCTCCAATTCTTTTTGCATAGTTAACGTGTATCAAGACAGGAAGAACAAGAAGAGAATCATTCTCCATAATATAGATGCTTCTGTTCTTACAAAATAGACCTTTATTGAACAGATTTCGAGATTATCTAAAGTTTTGACAAGTTGAAGGCAACAATAAAGGTAATTTTGGATAGAAACAGCAATTATATTAGTTTACCTTATCGTTTTTTAACAAAAATATCTATTTGGAAACAGATAAATCGGCATTGAAACTCTTTCAAATGTGATTAGTGGCATGTTTTTACTGTTTTTCTGTTCAAGCCAAGTGAACGATTGAAAAAGTATACTCGAGAGTTGAAGCACTTGTGAAAAAAATGTAATAAAAAGAACTTCTTTTGGAAACTTGTATATTTTATATGTTACTTTTATCATCGATTAGAAAATAATGTATTGTCATAGAATCCATTCAACTACCTAAAATTGTAGAGAATTAAAATACACATGTCTTGAAGAAAGATTTTTTGGTGTGTGCGTGTGGGCATTAAGATTGAGAAGATCACACCCACATTCCTGTCTGTATTTCAAATGTATCATGCAGAGTATTTCGAATGATCAATCATATATGACTGAAATCAATTCATAAAAAGGTCACATTCTCTGATATGATATAAATGACATGTTAACCATATATAGAAGAATAATCTGCAATTCTTTATCCACATTTGAAACGATGAATTTATTCAAACATCAGTAGTATATAATAGAGCATTGCTACTGTAAACTACCATCATATATTCATAAATTTTGCATCATAATTACTCTTTCAAAACATACAACTCCGTTCAAATTATGCGCTTTATACTAGTACATCTGAAATGCCTTTCTATTTTTTCATATAGAAGTTCTATACAGAAGCGTATATTATGTCTATAGATACAAGACTGCATGAGCTACGCATAGGTAAAAATATTAATGCAACATCGCTTCTTGTTGTTTTTAAATAGAATCAGCCCGAAAAATTTTTGAACGCACCATCTGTTTTATAGAGAAAACACTTGTTATTATGTACTTCATCACCATTATAGCGGCGCTCGCTATTCTTTGATTGGTAAATTAATTGTTTAGTTTACATGGGTGATGTTTTAAACAGGTACTACTATTTTATTTCTCTAGTATGTACATAGTCTTTAAGTAATGATTATATTTTTTACGGTACATGTCACAGATTAGTCAGAGCTCACAAATAGATAAGTAAAAAGTTCGCAAAAACCATGCACTTCTCATTGACGAGTCATAGAATTACTCAAAATTGAACTCGAACGATGACTTTGTTGGCAATTAAATGTTTTCTGTGCTCTATCTCGAACAGGAACCATCTCATATTCATTTATTACTAAAAGTACTATTTGGTGCACAAATCGATTGAATAAATAAACAAAAAAATTCAATTATAAACTTGAAATCTGAACAAATGCATTTTCGAATCGTTATAATCAAAATCCTGTGAATTTTTTTAACATACACAGATCCTATTACTTTTCTTCCATTTACAAGATTCGGTGCGCGTTTGAGACAGAGATGGAACCGGTCTGGATTTTTGAAGACCGGTACCGGTACCGGTCCAAACAGGTCAGACCGGCCGGTACACAATTTTTACCAATATAAATTCTATCTTTTCGATAGTGATAGTTCAGGCAATCGACTTCCACCGAAATTTTCATATGTATTCTGTACAAGATAGCATCAAGATTTCGCAGATTTAACTAGTTTATGCAATAAAACCAGGAAAGAAAAAAGATAGACCGGTCTACCGGTAATCGACCGGTCTACCGGCCGGTCTGAAATCCGTACCGGTACCGGACCGGACCGGACCGGCCGGTAACCGGTACCGGTTCCATCTCTGGTTTGAGAGACGAATGAGACTTATTTTTACTAGGCATCAATAATCTTAGTAAGTTATTATATACACGTTACTGCTTATAGCTACATTTATGACAAGAACGAATATGAACCAAGAAAGTAACGAAAAAAAACCATTACTCGATCACGAAAAATCATCTCATAGTATCCAAGATCAAAATCAACGTGCATCTTCTCGTCTTGAATGGGCAGAATCATCTTGGTTTCGTCTCTTCCATATTTTATTTTTTTCTTGGCTTAAACCAATTCTTTTATCGGCATATAGACGACAATTAGTAGAAGATGAACTTGATGAACCACCTCTGATTGATAAAACTGTAGTACTATTAGAGAGATTACGATCTCATGATTGGTCATCAACAACAACATGGATGATTATTAGAAAAGAATTTATGAAAGACTTAATTTCGGCTGGTTTGATGGGGATTCCCTTATGCATAGCTAGTATTACACAAGTTCTAGTTTTCTGTCAATTGATTTGGAGTATTACGGACAAACACGCGCCGGTTTATCGCATCTATTTATGCATTATACTACTACTGCTATCCATTGTTTTACAATCAATTTCAGAACGACAAGCATTGTTTCGTTCAAATCGTGTTGGTATTCGAATTCGTAATGCATTGAATATCATCATTTATATGCGTACATTGTCTTTGAAGTTGACATCTTCACAAGAAATAAATACAGGTCAAATTTTGAACTTAATCACCAGTTATACACTCAATCTTGAAGAACTATGCACCAATTTAGCTGTTGTAACAGGAGGCATTCTTCAAATAATTATTCTATTTGGTTTACTTTCTTGGATTATACACCCAATACCAACATTATGTGGATATGCTTTGTGTCCAATATTGATTCTAATACAAATTTATTTCGGTCGAAAGTTTCGTCAATGTCGTGAAATAACAGCGGTGTGTAGTGATAAACGTATACACGCATATAGTGAATTTATCTATGGATGTCATTCTGTTAAAATGTACAATTGGGAAAAACTGATGGAAAATCGTATAGTTCAAATGCGTAAAAGTGAATTAGAAAGTATTCGATATACATCTCGTTTTCATGCATTCAATATTACTCAATATTTTATATCAACACAACTATTTTCATTAGCCATATTTGGTAGTGCTTGGCTTTTAGGTTATCCATTGACTACAGCAAATACTTTTCCACTTGTTTTAGCTTTTTCTTTTATTCGAAGTAGTATTGGATACTACATACCAACAACATTCCAAAAGTTCAGTGAAGCAAAGTTTGCATCAAAAAGAATCGATGCATTCCTACGTTTAACTGTGAAACAAGAACATCAGTCTTCATCAAACATATTGTCAAGTGATGAGAAACAAAAAGGAAGTATCATCATGTCCAATGTTTCATTTTCTTGGCAAAACGATATTTCTTGTCTATCGTCACTGAATGTATCGATTGAAAAAGGTACATTTGTTGGTATCGTTGGACCAGTTGGTTGTGGTAAATCATCTTTTCTTGCTGCTATTCTTGGTGAAATGAATCTTATCGAAGGTCAGGTGAATACACATCATAGCTCATTTTCTTATGCTGCTCAATCTCCATGGGTATTTTCTGATACATTTCGTAATAATATTCTTCTAAATCGACCATATGATGAACAAAGATATAGGGACGTGATAGATGCCTGTTGTCTTGATGTTGATCTTAGTCGATTGGGATCTTGTGGTGATTTGACAATAATGGGAGACAATGGAGTCAATTTAAGTGGAGGACAAAAAGCACGAGTAGGATTAGCACGTGCTTTGTATGCTGATGCCGATATTTATTTACTTGATGATCCTTTATCAGCTGTTGATCGTACAGTAGTCAAATACATTTATGAACGATGCATTGGTCCAAATGGAATATTGAGAGATAAAACTCGACTACTAGTTACTCATCAAACTCAATTTCTTTTTGAAGCAGATCAAATTATATTTCTTTCACATGGACAAATTGATAAAGAAGGTCGGTTAGACAAAGACTTCACAAGACAAAATGTGTGTGACAAAAAACAAACATCTACATTAGTTGCAATGCTTGAAGACAATCCACCTGAATCTGATGATCAATCAGCCATCACCGATGAAATATCAGTAAATGATAGGTCCAACTGGTCTCTCTATTATAATTTATTTACCGCATCACCATCTGGTACTTGCGGATTTTGTTTACTGCTTGTCTTACTCTTGTTAGGTGAAATATTCAATGACAGTGCGAACTATTGGCTTAGTGTATGGTTGAAACAATTGGAAACTAATCGACAACTTCAACCAAAATATTTTTATATCTATTTTGGTTTAATAATAGGTACACTAATCATGGATATAATATATACAAACTATTTTTATAAGATTATTTTGAATGGTTCGAATAGTCTACATAATAGTATGTTGAGAGGACTCGTATATACCTCGTTAAAATTTTTTGAAAATAATCCAAGTGGAAGGGTTCTTAATAGAGCAACTAGAGATCAATATGTAATAGACGAATTATTACCTACAGTGCTACTGCATAGCATTGTGGTACTATTGATGTCAGTTGGTGCAATGTTTATCATTTGTGTTCTCAATCCCTCGATTATTATTGCACTACCGATATATTTTGTAGGGCTTTGGTTCATGATTCATTTTTATCAACGATCTTTTCGTCAACTGAAACGACTCGAAAATATCACTCGTAGTCCTATTTATACATTCGTACAATTCTAGTATTACGTAAGAGTGTGTGCGTGGGTGTGAATGAGAATGCGGGCACAGTGTGTGCGTGTGCATGTCTTCTTTTCATGAACTAGGGGTTTGATTTACCGCTTAATTTATAATATAGCTAAATGATAGGAAAGGATGAGTGACGTTAAGGCCCTATTTCAGCTCACGATATTTTCAAGAAATAATTATATGAGTGTTACATAATCGATATTAACTACAAATCTAGCACAGTCATTTTCCTTGAAATTACATCCGAACTTTTGACTCCCATACCTTCCAACAGGATTTCAAAAAAGTTCTGTTCGAAATTTGTTTTTTAAAAGTGACTACGACTAACAAGTTGGCGATGTTGATCACGAATATCGCTATCTTAAAATTCAAAAATCTATCGCTGAAAAATTAGACTATGTTTTCCTATATCAGAATTTTGGGGTCTAAGCCAGGTTTTTGATCCTTCTTCCACATATACTGATCTCTATGAGATCTAGAAAAGCATCTTTAGGTGCGAAATTTCAAGCTTTATCCAAATCTGGACGAATAAAGATCATCTAAAATGCTTAGGTGCTTATGACAGCGAAATACGACCAAAATCTCGATAGGCTAAGCATGGGCATGCCTCTTTCTAGAGGGTCTGGATGTTGGTGTGTGGTGCGCCTGTGGGTGTGGATGTACATGATGTGGATATGGGTGTGAGTAAAGACAAGAGATGAATCCAAGCCTACACCCACACCCTCAAGACAGCGTAAATAAACAATTTATCACTGACTTCTTTTCAGTTGCTTCTATGGGTGTCTGATTTTATCATATAATATTCGTTCACATTGTTGATTGTGTGATGTGATCGGTTCAATAAAGATAAAGAATTACTGTTTGTCTACCAAAAATTCATCATAAGAACTACCGTTCTTTAGCCTTCATGTATAATTCGATTCTTTTTACAGACTTTCGTATTAATTTATTAAGTGTCAATAACAGATAATAATTCATATTCTCTTGTCTTGAACAAAGGTAAGACTTTGCTTGATGCGAATTTAGGTAAAAGAAAAACAGATACCAATATTCACACCTACACGCTAAAACTGAATCCATGTTTGAGCGAAAAATTCTTAATCTACAATTTTAATACGTCTGATCTCTATTCCCCTACCTATATGCATATGTAAAACCAGCAAAAGCTAAATATTGGGAAAATATTCTGGTTGATACCGAATTTGCGACTGGCCAACAGATAACTCCTTTAACTTTCATGCCTGTGAATGCATGCGTCTCAATAAGAAATATTTGGAAAGCATTGTTAGAGTGTGGGTGGGTGTTTGCTTGAATGATATCTACACTCACATCCACACCACATCCTAGCCACACCACTAGGATCTCGCAGGAACAACTTTTTTAAGTTATCGTTTCCGTGTTCCCGTTCTCATGTTCGTAATCGCGCAAGAAAAATTTTTATTCTCGTCCCGTTTTGCGCTCCCGTAAGATGTTCCGAATTCCTATTTGTTTTTCACTGTTTTTTTCATTTCAAGCAACTATCGTGGTCTGATATCAGCTTCTCACAGTAGTACGTTTTCCAGAATATGACATAGGTTATAGTAATCTAGATCGAAATTGAATTTATCTATTGTCGCTACTATCAATTTGCAATATTTTGATTATTATTCTAAGGGTACGGATGTGTGCTAATACTATTAAATAAGTGGCACGATGATAAAAGAAATAAAGACTAAATTCACAAGATACGTTGAAGATGAGTGAAAAGTTTTAAAAGATGTGAATGTTTCTATCTATCAAAACCATAATATATAGTTAACTTTATATTATCTGCAATAGCTCAACAAATACCGTGTATTTCAACAACGAGTATTTAAAAAAATACCCTATCTCAAACAGTAGATAAATGACAGGAAGTCGTTATGCGTGTTTGCATGGAAATAAAATAAATCAGCTATTATTTAGAAATTGAAGTTTATCAATTTCCAGATAACTATTTCTATGGTTGACTGACTAGTTGAGAAAAAGAATAAATAGTTGCTTTTTGATGGCACCAATAAGAAAATCAAAAATTTCAAAGGAAGCACATAATTTTAATGTTCTGTAAGATAATATCGATAATCATGCTTTCCATGATAATTATAAAGTTGATCGCTGTCATAATGTAAGATGTAGTGAAAAATGAATGAATTTTCATAATATTGCTGATAAATATTTATTGTTTCTTTTTGTTTATTGTGTACGAAAATAGTTATTGAAAACAAAAATGTGTTACACAAACACACTTTAATGCATATAGAAATCGGAAGAGCGAATTTCCGAGAACTTGTATCCTTTTTATCGTTCCCGTAGGACCCTACACACCACACCAACGCCTCACACCCACCCACACCCTTGTCTAATATTTACTTTTGCATTTCTGTTTCTGATTCAGCTCTTTGATGAAAAGATTGTATTCGATGAAAGATTATCTTGAGTTCCGAGAAATTCTGATTTATTGTGGATGAGTTTCAGATCTAAGAGTGTATTAAAAGCTCGAAGTGTGCCCTTTGAAATTGTTTAGTATAAAACTCGATCTAGTTTCTGGATTGATGTTATGTTGACTTCACTTTTAGTAAATTGTCGCAAGATGAATATGCTTCAATAATATCGATGATTAGTTGATGATCTGAGAGCGATTTCTATTAACGATGACAAACTCCCCAGAACACTTATTCTTCTATACAAATCGATCTCTTAATTCTCGGAATATCCCATCATTCATATATTAACAATTGTATCGAATGATTGCTATACCCGTTTTATAGTCTATCATCAACTCTAAATATGATTTATTTGTCTAAAAGTTTGTTTAGATTTAGTAATCAGTTGCTTCTTCAATCTATGATTGAAGCAATGACATCTCAAGTCAAAATTTTCACAGATGTGTTTAAGAGGTGACCGGACTTTTTGTTGCAAGACAAATCGTTGCGGACAAATCGTTGCAGACAAATCGTTGCAAGGACATTTCGTTGCAGGACAATTCGTTGTAGGAAAATTAGTCGCGGACATATCGTTGTGGACAATTCGTTGCGGACAAATCGTTGTAAAAAAGTCGTCGCATGGACAAAACGTCGAGGGACAAATAGTTGCACGGACAAAACGTTGTAGGGACAAATAATTGCACGGACAAAACGTTGTAGGGACAAATAGTCGTATGGACAAAACGTGGCAATAGTCTATAATTTGCTGTATACAATATTTGAAAAATGTCAGTGCCAATGTGATAGTTTAAAAATTATTTACTAGGTTTCTTTCCTCTGCATTTTTATATGTAGAACCCTTCCTTCTTTTTATATGTTCTGTGTACGTTTTATTTCACTTTTTTTTTCTCTCTCTCTTCTCATTTCTGGTACTGTTAGGATCTTAGGATCACAGTTATTGCATAATAAAAAAAAAAAATTATTTACTAAATTTTTGTAGACAATGATTGGTTGATTCGTTGTTATACTTCTAGAATAATAAATATTTCAAAAGAATGGAATAGTTGACATATTGGAAAATGAAAACTGAATTTCTTATCTATTATTGTAGAATATAAAATTTGACGATTGCAAGGTTTTGTCCATGCGACTATTTGTCCCTACAACGTTTTGTCCTGCAACGTTTTGTCCCTACAACGTTTTGTCCTGCAACGTTTTGTCCTTGCAACGTTTTGTCCGTGCAACTATTTGTCCGCAACGTTTTGTCCGCAACGATTTGTCCGCAACAATATGTCCGCGGCTAATTTTCCTACAACGATTTGTCCTGCAACGAAATGTCCTTGCAACGATTTGTCTGCAACGATTTGTCCGCAACAATTTGTCCTGCAACGAAAAGTCCTAGAACCGTTTAAGATTATTCTCAGTATTAGACTGCGCGATGACATATATTTAAACAAACACAACAGGCTATTAAAATGACGAAACGCTAAAAGTATTTCTCTTTTATTTATTTAAGCCGCTAAAAAAAGTTTTTCATATAGCTTAGGTGAACTCTTTTTTAAATGAATTAAATAAAACACTGCGTTTTCTGATTAATGTTATCTTCAAAACTTTTCATCATTTGTTGTTGTATACTTAAAAATAATTCTATTTCACGGATCTAAGTTATGTGCTCGTCTCTGTGCTACACAACAAATGAGAAAGGACATGAAACTTTCTGATACACTTGAGACCCATATGTTGGATGAAAATCAGGCACAAGTGTGAGTGTAGAGATGGATATGACAGCTAGACTTTTTGTAGTCCAAAAAATGGCTCACACTCACATCCCAGCGTGATGCTGAGAAGAATTCTGATAAAATTAATTGTTATATTGAGAGAAAAACTTCATTTTCAAAAGAGGATACATTATCAGAATGATAAAACAAATACTATTTAATATTTCTGCAATTTTCTTTATTAGTCAAATACATTGAAATGAAATTATAAGTGATGTTTGTGAATTTAAGGAAGAAGTCAGGAATAAAATAAATCTCAAATAATCTTTAGGTATTATCTCTTTGTTGCAGTTTCTGAAGGTTAAGAT